ATGTGTAACTAAACCCAGGAGGACTGGAGTCTCAATGCTGGTGAGCATTCTCCCCAGGGAGCTCATTTGGAGATGGGGGGAGGAGTTCCCTGGATTCACCTGAGCATAGACACCTCTCCAGGAGACCACAGGGCCCCATCAGCCTCTCCCAATACTTCATTCCTGAGTGCGAGCGTTCATTCCCATCCTTCTGGGTATCTTGAGAACCTCAATGACTATCATTTCAGGTCTTTGTATCTAATTTCACAAATTTTCAGAAAGGTAGGACAGTGGGGTGCATTGTTTCTCAAAGCCTGGTCCGTGGACTAGTAGTAGCATCAGCACTACTCTGGCCACTTGGGAGAAGAGAATTCAGGTTCCGCTCCAGACCTGCTGAACCAGAAGCCCGAAGGTGGGGCCTGTGATCTGTGCTTAAACAATCCCCCCAGGTGATGCCAATGCACAGTCTGGTGTGAGACCCATGGGGTGGTGGTTAAAAGCAGAGGGTCAAATGCCAAGTCCAAGTCCTCACTCTACCACTGAGTGATCTGGGAAGAGTCTGCCCCTCAAGTTTCCTAATCTGAAAACTGGGGACAATAAAGCATCTTCTACTCCTTCATATGATTGTGTAGGAGGAGAGCTCAGACACATAAGGCATGGAAAGCTGGCACGGAAAGCCTGTTTAGGAATATTAAATACTCCTCAACAAAGTGGGTGTTGTTTTCCTATAATACAGACGAGGCGACTGAGGCTCAGAGGCTCAAGTGTCTCAGAGCTAATGAGGTGAGTGCTCACTCACTAGTGACACACGCCATTCCCCTCTTCTGACCCCTCACGCTTTTCTCCTGTTCACTTTGGCTTATCTTTCTCTCTCCTTTCTGGGATCTCATGGTGACACCAATCCAGAGCACTTCATATGATCTTCACCTTGACCCTGTTTTGTCTACAGCCAGAAGATGAGGCAGCCTTGGTGGAGGTATGGTAAGGATTTGGGGTTAAAGATGCTACCTGAGGAAACTGGCGACAAATTAAAACCCATTCCCATGGAAAACTGGGAGTAGGTTAGCCAAACCATTTGCCTAGGCTTATACGACATTTCACGCATTGAGGTCTTTAGGGTAATTGGAACATTGTGCATGGAATTGGTAAGCTATTAATAAGAGGAAGTTTTTTCTTCTACCTGCCTGACTGGACTGAGACCCTTTGCAGCCACCTGCAAATCTGTGGAGAGGAGCTCTGCCTACCTTCTCCAGACCTGCGGGGGTCAAGCTCACACCTGGGTTGGAGAGGAACCCCTAAGCTTGTGAGCCTCTTTGAAGTTGCTTCTGGCTATTGCAACATGTGTCTGGTGACCTC